AGTATATAATTTTCCTTAATATATATATATATATATTTTTTTTTTTTGGGGGGGGGGGTTAATTACACACGTATATAATTATTTTTTGTGTACAGTATTCAGTATTGTGATAAATATATACAGTATATATATTTTTCCTGTTTGATCCACATTTCTGGCTGGACTCCTAAAGAAGATTTGCAAAACCCTGGCTGAAAAGCACTGCTTAAACCTTTTGGTCATGCTGGGCAGGAGGGGGTCAATACAAGGACAAATGGCCCCAAGACATGATAAGCAACCTCTACCCACGGGCCTAGGAAAACATTTTCAAAACATGTAATGTTCGACCAGGTTCTGTGACTTTTAAAACAGGCCCCTGGACCTGGTAAATACTGCCATAGGCTGGTGGCAAAATCAAATGTGTGGTATATATTTACCAATACTGGCATATAATTAATTTTGTTGTGGGAAAGCAGTCTGTGTGGTATATATGTGTATAAATGACTTCAGTCACATATATACTTGGCAACCATTCAAGCTTATTCACACGTGTGTGTGTGTGTGAACACACACACACACACACACTATTGAGGTCCCTCCAAGGTTAAATTACTAATCCTTCCCAGGGTGCATCCCCCACAACAGTCGACTAACTCCTAGGTACCTATTTATTGCTAGGTAAGCAGAGGCATTAGGTGATAGAAAGTGTACCCAACCACTTCTCTCCCACCTGGAATTCAAACCTCTGATTCGTGATTGTGAGTTGAGAACGAACCTATTTTTTGTATGTGCAGTAAAAATCTTTTTCTTGTTCAAGACTTGTGTAATATACTGTAGTCATATTACAATTTTGTACATTAGACGTGTACAAGAAACTATAACAGATTGGCAAGAAGACAACAAATCAATGTAGGAAAAACAGAAGAAAATCAACGATAAATTTAGTCAGAGGTAATCTGAATGAGAGTTCACTCAAAATACTGTTTGTTAAAATTCTAAAAAAAAAAAATTTGCCTGATGTTAACTGAACCCAGAGTTATGATAATTAAAGCTCCCGAGTCTGGTTAGGTTGACCAGATGTCAGCTGAAGAGTGAAGCTATCCGTGGTAAAATGAACGCCACACATCAGTTGAAATAAAGCTTGCATAGAAAAAAATGTTATAAATACACAGTACCGTACTGTATTAAGGAAGGTTGGGTGTTAGCTGTAGTAATATAGATAATTTTGTTTTCAAGACTTGTTTTGACCCATCTCATCCCACAATGATAGAAATTCAACGTTGGTTGTTCAGTATTCCATCTTCAGCATGTATAAGAAAGTCAAGTTTTGCTGCATTCCTGGCTGCATTGGAGGTAACAGTGGTATCACTGTTACCTCCAATGGTCTATGTTTCAGAAGCCATTTGTACTTGTCCCATTATCTGGAAACCAATTTCTTATGTAAATTTCAACCCTGTGATATATGGTTCAGTTCCAAACCATAAGAATACAGTAATGTCAACTAGTATTCTGTAGTGTATACTGTACAGACCACTGTTAACGTGTATAATACAAAATGACGATAATACTTAAATATGGTTAACCACTGAACCTTAGCATTGCATGTACACACTCAACAGCATTGAGTACTTTTGTGCAGGAGGGATATATATAACTTTGTATATTTGCTTGATCAAATGAATTTTTAAAGAAATATATCTTAGGATGTGTATTGTCATGAACAAGATAATTAGTAAAAGTTAACATTGGGTATTGTTATATCCTTGCTAGAAAATGCATACAGATTAAAAAGGTAATGATTTTTGGAGACATTCCTTTGTTTAGCATATGATTTATGCATGATTCTGATCTCCACTGTGGTAGTGTTGCTGCTGGTATGATCACTGTGGTAGTGTTGCTGCTGGTATGATCACTGTGGTAGTGTTGCTGCTGGTATGATCACTGTGGTAGTGTTGCTGCTGGTATGATCACTGTGGTAGTGTTGCTGCTGGTATGATCACTGTGGTAATTACTGCTGGTATGATCACTGTGGTAATTACTGCTGGTATGATCTCCACTGTGGTAGTATTACTGCTGTTATGATCTCCACTGTGGTAGTATTACTGCTGGTATGATCTCCACTGTGGTAGTGTTACTGCTGGTATGATCACTGTGGTAGTGTTACTGCTGGTATGATCAGCATATATATTATTATTTATATATCATGTTACTACTGGTATGATCTCCACTGTGGTAGTATTACTGCTGGTATGATCACTGTGGTAGTGTTACTGCTGGTATGATCTCTGTGGTAGTATTACTGCTGGTATGATCTCCACTGTGGTAGTGTTACTGCTGGTATGATCTCTGTGGTAGTGTTACTGCTGGTATGATCTCCACTGTGGTAGTGTTACTGCTGGTATGATCTCTGTGGTAGTATTACTGCTGGTATGATCTCTGTGGTAGTGTTACTGCTGGTATGATCTCCACTGTGGTAGTGTTACTGCTGGTATGATCTCTGTGGTAGTGTTACTGCTGGTATGATCTCCACTGTGGTAGTGTTACTGCTGGTATGATCACTGTGGTAGTGTTACTGCTGGTATGATCTCTGTGGTAGTATTACTGCTGGTATGATCTCTGTGGTAGTGTTACTGCTGGTATGATCTCCACTGTGGTAGTGTTACTGCTGGTATGATCTCCACTGTGGTAGTGTTACTGCTGGTATGATCACTGTGGTAGTGTTACTGCTGGTATGATCTCTGTGGTAGTATTACTGCTGGTATAGCAGTAACAAAGGAATATTGTGAACATTGTTAGTTTTATGTAACTACTTTATACTATTTGATGCCAATACATAGTAGACAAAATAAAATAACTGTCTAGACACAGTAAATTATTGTAAATAAAAGACTGGCATATAATTTTTGTTCCCAATGAAATATTTGCCACAAACTTATGAATACCACATGAAATTTAAAATTACAGTAAAAATAATGAATAAAAAGTTATTGACTAATATTTAAATGATTTAATAAAAGTCATCTCATATTTCATTTTAAATTACAAAACGGTAAAGATTGCAACTTGACAAGGTCTAGGATGAACACAAATGTCTTCACTTGTCATGTCGTGTGTGGGTTGGGTTGTAAGTCTCAGCCTCATTATTGTGACATTCTCTGCAATAAGATATTTCTTCTCATTACAGCATAAAACTTAAAACAAAGAATATTTGTTTATATGTCAACTACTCTCCTTTACGACAACCTGGGCTCCACTATTTGCAGTTCCACAAGCCATTTCACATTTAAAAAGCTTTGCAAGAAATATTTTACAATGCATAATGTGTACATGAAAATGAACATATTCTATTAACTTAATGTCATGTGCATTGCACAAGATTGCAGCTACAGTATGTCAATACTGGCTTAATTAAAAGCTTCAGATACCACTGGAATTATTCTTTATGCCGTATAATGCAAGTGTGACATAGTATAGAAGTGTTTTGGTTCTGTGTAGTTTATATATCAGTATATAACTTGTTTTTCTCTATGTTTACTGAATAGCTGAGAAGTGTTGTATGTGTATTGGAGAATAGAACAAAGTGTCCTTTATTGATTATCCAATGCCACCCTAACCTTAAGCCTTGGTACAACCCCATAGTGTCTTGGAAGGAATAAGCTAAAGAATATCCATATAATATTCTCTCTTGACAGAGTCTCTCATTAGCAACCTGGGTACTGTTGTACTTTTAATCACCCAGATCAAGACCTAGTAGTATTGTTTCAATTTCATTATATGTCAAAATCATGACATTTACTTTGTCAGTGATGTAACTTTGAAGCCATTTGAGTTTTCCATACTTATCTCTTTGTATATTTCTAGTTACCAGTACTTTCCTAATTGTAAATAAAAACAGTTATATACTCTGATTTTAAAATAATGAATGATAGATGTTTATACAGCTCTAATTTATGTATGTACAGTATACTGTTTATTGTGTGTAAAAATATTATTGTGCCAACAACCAGAAGAAATATCTTGTACTGTGCCTTTTGAACATTTATAAGGATATTCTGAGCAACAGCGCCAGTAAATAAAGCAATAAATATGATAATGTGTATTTATTTCTGATATTTTTGGTTAAATGGTTTTAAATTTATTTATATACAAGAAAGTACATTGGGTTTATGAGAGTACAAAGTATTGATGTTTTACATTCTTGTAAAGCCACTAGTAGGCATAGCATTTTGGGCAGTTTTACTTTTATTTTTACGACTGCTGTCTGATTCTTTTTAATATAAGTGAAGCATGTGAACAGTTGTAGGTATGCCACACAGCTGATGGTATGGGTATACCTTGTATCAGACACTAGGCCTACTACTCGTTTAACCCTTTGGCTGTGTCTTGATATTCTGTGCTCAATTACCAGCGTGATCGATTTGTAGCTACAGTACATAAATGCCAGTATAAAAAGTATTATATTTCTAGTTGGAGGCAGATCGGATCTTTCCATCTATTCACAATAACAAAAATGCGGGTTCTTTTATTTGAAAGAAATTGTCCAAGTACAGTTTCACAAATACTGTACATCAAATGTGCATAAATTGCCAAAAGGATTTACAGTTTTTGTTTTCAATTTATTACATTTTTAATAACTGATACCAGAACGTAATTTATTACATGTTCCGGTATATGTAACCGATAAGCATAATGTACCAAAGAATCCCTAGATATTATGCCTAATATAGTTCATATACATGCTATACTTGGCCTAGAAAACATTGAAGTTTGGCTTTAGGTTTTAATTTTGTATTCCAAGCAAAATATAAAGTACAAAGTAAATTTTTGGTGGTCTATCACTACAATTTGCATTTTCGACCAAATAGTTTCTATAAGTACGGCTGTACTCAGGAGGATGGGTTGAAATAATTACTCAGTATTGAGGTAAGGTAAGATAATTATCAAAAGAAGGCACCAAACCGGGAAGGCTATGTAGCACCATCAAAGTTACTCAGTATTGAGAAGGTGAAAGATACAAATTATGCAGACATTATTTAATATGGCACACATTGGAGGTCCACCAGTCGAAGGCAACACTCCCATTTTAAATATGTACAAAAAAAAAATAACTTAATTACACTGCGGCATCACCGAGCATTTGGCATAGATTCACTAAAGACCCTTCAATAAACCAGGCATCATGCTTGCTGATCCAGGGAAAACTAGCCATGCTTCCATAATGTAGAATATTAGCTCACTTTTATGTTTAGATAACAAAATGTATGCCATGTCATGGAAAGTGTGCTACTAATATAAACAGGACAGAATTATAAGATGAGGTTTTAACGTAAAATATTGTGTAATAATACATATGTAAATGTAATTAAATGCAATTACTATACTTTAAAAATAAGCAAATAAATTTATACAAATTATTTTTATATAATACACACATTAGGATATTTAGTCTTGCGTGAATCTGTAAATAGTGATTTTGTGTTTGCGCGGACTACGGATCTCTAGCAAAGAGGTGTGGTGCTGCAGACAGTGCTTCACCAGGTACTTATTCTCAAAAAACTTTGCAGAACACACACCACACCCATACTGCGGTCGCAAGAGGTACAGCAAGCCTTTATGCCTGGTCCCGATGTGTCCACTCAGAGACTCGTTGTCACAAAACTTCACTCTGCAAGTGTTACAGCGAAACATACGTAATGGGGAGTATAGCTTCAGGTTTGTGAAAGGTGATGCATCGGAGCCATTCTCTTCCTTGTCTATGGAGGTAATAGGGTCCTGGAGCTGAACAACACTCCCGCCATTTTCACCCACAGTTGCCTGGATTGTGGAAGGTGGTGGTGGCGGGAGCTCAGGAACACGTGGAACAGGTACGGGCTTGGGTCGGCGGAAAGTTCTTGTGGCTGGAGTGGGTACAACATCACTCTTGGCAACGTGATGGCCTTCTGTGATGCATCTCTTGGCACCATCCACTATCTTACTGGCGCTTGCTACTATAGTGCTTATTTCACGCTCTCCAATATTCTCTTTGTTTCTCTTTTTGAAGGACTTCCTAGAGCGAAGTCCAAGACCAAGCCGCCGTCTCTTGCGCTGTCCACCTGCCTTCTCGTTCAGGTCCATGAAATCTGCCGCAGACAAACTATCAACGCGAATAGGAATTATTCTTTTAGAGCCATTATCGTGTTCTTGCTGCTGTTGCTGTGGTTGTTGGTGTAAATTCTGCTGCTGCTGTAGCTGTTGTTGCATTTCATCAGTCAAACGTTCAAGAGTTGACTGTTCTGGCGATTCTGGAACAAACACCTCTTCGCTGGTAACGGGAGGTACACTGAAGCGTAATTCCCGTTTGACACTTGGCTTTCTGCTCAGCCCACTTTGGTGGCGCAATATTCCTTTACTTGTGGACGATGGTAACTGTTTATCTGATTGTGTTTCTTCTTGCCGAGTTTCCTGCTGTGGCTGTATCTGCTGGTAATCCTTAGGTGGCGGCTGAGGCGGCGGCATTGGAGACCTGAATGACCTGCAGTGCGAGGACCATGTTGCATCCAAATTAAGTGCCTCTACGCTTCGCCTTGCATCTGTGGAGAGGGCCATGGTGCCTAATTTATTACTCAAGCCAGGTGTAGAGGTGACCTTGGGCTGAAAGGGTGCTAGTTGAGAGACATCTCCAGATGATATACTTTTTAAAGATTCCTGGCTGGTCCCGTTGTAGGGTCGAAACTTAGCCTTAATAATGTCTTCATAGTCCGAGAGATGCAGCTGCTGCATGTGGTACAGAAGCACTTGCTCCCCGGTCTTGCCATGAGGAACCTTCTTAATGCAGAAGGGACACTGAATTCCTACAGCGTCAGACATAATGCAATTGTTCTTCTCAAGTATCTCGATAACAGACGCCCTGTGGAAATCAATAAGATGCTTTGGAAGAACAGATGTGTTAAAGAACTGTGCTTGACAGATGGGGCAAAACTGAAGCTGTATATCACCACAACGATTTTCAACCATTGAGTTCAGCTCATCTTTATGTAACTTGTGTATGTGGCTTCCTAGGCTTTTCTCGTAGCCAAAGTAGCGTGGACAGAAGGGACAAAATATGTTTCTTGGCTGGTGACCAGCGTATGAGGCCAACTTTGTCGCTAAATCAGCCAGTACTGAGCCATTAAAGGGACTAGTCACCTGGGGACTCTTAATATATGGAGAACTCATCTCAACATAACCTTGAGAAGGTCGATGTGACGAAGCGTTTGGCTCCTGGAACGAACGCTTCAGCTCCTCACACTCACTATCGCTGAGAGAGTCCCGCTCTTCATGGACACCAGACCACAGCTCAATGTAGCTGTGGTGAAGGCGCTGAGACCCACTGCCTCCACCCCTGGGGGTTGACGGAGCACTGCTGCTGCCTCCGCCTACCTGAGTCTTGGCAGGTTCCTTCTGAGGAAGAGGAACATTCATGTATTGTGGCACAGCTGTTTGGGGTATCGACGACACTACACAGGAAGGGACAACTAGTGTGGACTGTAACACTGGTGGAGCAGACTGTACAGGCAAGGGCGTGCACGGCTGAGGTAACTGTGTTGAGCAACCTGGAATGTTGTCATATGATGACAATGGACGAACAAACAGGTGTTCGGGCTGTGCCTGCTGCTGAGGTAAGTGCAGATTAACATAACTGTGTTCATATTGTTGAGGATGTTGTTGTTGTTGATAAGGCTGCTGGTGGTGACTCCGATACCTGGTCTCCTGCAGGTGGTGTGTAGAGGCACCTGTGCTGAGGGCTCTGGGTCGCGGTGTTTGGTTGAAGCACACCCGAGTCACCACGGCCGACTGGGTGTGTCTAAGGGCCCCGTTCCCATCCCCCGGCAGGAACCTCCTCTGTTGCACGTGTCCTTCCTCTACTCGCTTCCCCACACTAGTGATGACAGGGACGTGTGCCACAGCATTCCTGGGCGTTAGCTTCACTGGGTCACCGAAGTGTGATGGGTCTTCTCGTCGCGGCGATGTGACAGGTGCTACGGTAACGTAAATTTTTGTTCCAGCTCTGTTGACAATGTGCGCCATATTGGTAGTTGTGCTCTGTTGCTGCTGTTGGTGGATGATTGTCTGCTGCTGCTGTTGGTGAATGATTGTCTGCTGTTGGTGAAGGAGCTTTTGCTGTTGGAGGTTGGTGGCCTTGTGTGGGTGTTGGAAGTCCCTGTGCATTTGGAGATCGGCTATGTCCTGGTTAATGTTAGCAAGTACCCTGGAGAGGTCAGCCTCCATGACTGTCTCGCTGCTGCTGTTCCCGAAGACCTCGTCCATGACTGGGGGTTGTCACTCCGTCAGTCTACACGCCTGTAAGTTAAGATTCATTTATTAAATCATTCATTTAAATAAAAATTGGTCAATACTTATTTTTAAATTTTAATTAATGTTTTAATTAATGTTAATAATTTAAGCCTAATGGTTAAAAAGTTAAAGAAATTGACTGAAAAATTTAAATATTAGCCAAAAGTATCTTTAGGAAAATACTAAATGAATTTTATAAAAAATTTAACTTCACCAGTTAGATATTTTAACATTTTAATTATAATTAAGGTAATTTGTGTAACAGAGAATCGCTGTTTTAATTGTAGGTCCGCCGCAATACTTGATTTTGACCCACGTGGGGGGGGGGGGATGTGGTGTTTGGGCTGCACAACTTACCACCATATAACACAACCTTCCCTGCCAGACAACACAGCACCGCTTCTGTGCCAGGTAAGTCCACTACGGGCTCACCATAGCCCGTGCTACTTGGAACTTTTTGTTCACGGTAGCTTAATCTATAACAACAACAACATGCCAGACAACAGCGAGAAACAGAGGGCGTCAGTCGCCAGGGTCTTCACCGCTCTCTAGCACAGTCACACAGTCTCTAGTCTGGGGGTAGCACATGGGGTGTAGTGTTAGCCTGGGGGGTAGCACATGGGGTGTAGTGTTAGCCTGGGGGGTAGCACATGGGGTGTAGTGTTAGCCTGGGGGGTAGCACATGGGGTGTAGTGTTAGCCTGGGGGGTAGCACATGGGGTGTAGTGTTAGCCTGGGGGGTAGCACATGGGGTGTAGTGTTAGCCTGGGGGGTAGCACATGGGGTGTAGTGTTAGCCTGGGGGGTAGCACATGGGGTGTAGTGTTAGCCTGGGGGGTAGCACATGGGGTGTAGTGTTAGCCTGGGGGGTAGCACATGGGGTGTAGTGTTAGCCTGGGGGGTAGCACATGGGGTGTAGTGTTAGCCTGGGGGTAGCACATGGGGTGTAGTGTTAGCCTGGGGGTAGCACATGGGGTGCAGTGTTAGCCTAGGGGGGTAGCACATGGGGTGCAGTGTTAGCCTGGGGGTAGCACATGGGGTGTAGTGTTAGCCTGGGGGGTAGCACATGGGGTGTAGTGTTAGCCTGGGGGGTAGCACATGGGGTGTAGTGTTAGCCTGGGGGGTAGCACATGGGGTGTAGTGTTAGCCTGGGGGGGTAGCACATGGGGTGGGGGGAGTGCATTAGCTTATTTACAGTGGTTGACGCGTGCCTCCCACCGCCATCTTTGTGACGTCACCACTTGTCTGGTTCGACTGATTCATAACGACCGTTGCAACCGTCATGAACGTCTCATTAACACTACCATCTATTGCACCCCAAATGCAACCCGAAATATTTTTCGGATGAAAGCCACTTTTCCCTTAAAAGTATTCACACTAATATAATAGAGGAATTCAAATTCACACATTCAAATCGAGCTGCTTCGCGCCACATTTCTGGCTGGCAGTTGAGGGGAACAAATTTCAAGTGCTGAAGGGTTAATACACATTGGCTGGTCGACCCACTAGTTACTGGAGGTAACGGGCTGGTCCCGCTACCAAGCTGGTGTTTGGAGTCTAGTGCATCTGCTCCTCCACTCATGTTACCCAACATAAGCGTATATGTAAGTCAATTAATGTATTCTGATTTATTAAGAGACAAATTGCAAGATTTTCCGAGCGTATGCAGATTTCACCATAATTGCAGAGGTAGTACACCTCTTTATTATCATTATAAATAGTAATAAACTAAAACTATGAGTGGTTGAAACAAAATTACACATGCGGTTGATGTAATTTTCGTAAATCACAACAGACTAATAACATTTAGGAAACTAGAAAAGATCATCAGAATGGTGTATTATGGTACTGTACGTATGTGAGCATCATGTGTATGCCGTTCCTGCCTGGAATCCCCCACTTAAAGAAGCAAAACTCCCCAAACTATATTTAGCATAAAAGTTCTAGAAATAATGTCAGGCGACTTAACGTTTAGGGAGCACAAGAGAGAAGACGAGGCAGAGAGGTGTTCCACTTGTGTGAAGTTGAGCAAGATGTGGTAATGATAAGGATGATAACCTTGACGTCAAGGAATGCCACCACAATGTTCCTACTATTCAAATAACTTGTGCTCTCCCTCCTCGAGTAGATGTATAAACAGTGGGTTTGGCGGCTAGATTAACGAGCATTTGGCCTTTGTTGACGAGGACGGGCTGCCAACAACGCTCTTACCAGAACTGAAAACGGCAGATTTGGCTTATATTGGCTTATACGAGGCAGCTCCTATTTATATCTTACCAGAATTGTGAGGATTGAACTATGAGGTCAAGACGAACTGAACCACCACACTTGGAGATAGAATCGAGGAGATATGATAAAGATATATAATATTCTCAGGGATATGTGGTCGGGATGAACAAAGGAGCGTAGATGAAAACTTGAGGTTCATACGCGTCACAACCCATCTGTAAATACCAGGAGAGGCACAAATATGAAGACATCATCAGAGCTGTAATAAACATCACACAAGAGACAGACACTGAGGCTCACTGAATGACCTAATTGTTGCACATTTTGACGTATTCTATCCTTCCTATCAAACCATGTCAAAGGCTACTCACGGAAGGGAAAGGAATCAAGACATAATTCATTTCCTACCAGGACGAGGAATAAAGAACATTAAATTCCAGTAAGAGCTAGTGATTACTGCAGACTAACCTTACAGTACTTGGTTAAAGATAATGAGATAAAAGACCAGCATAACCGTAGAGTATGAGAGAACCAGACAGGTCCGTAGAAATACCGAGTCTCTTTATTAAGTACGCAAGAAATATAACATGTGTCGCCGTATTGTTGGTGCTGAATGTCTAAAGTGAAAAACATAATTTATTCGGGAAAAAAACAATTGTATAATGACGCGTGACGGAAATCTGACGTCCACTTCGTTTGGCGTCGCCACTAGGAAGATAACCCCCACCTGGTTGTTCGTCCTGTCACAGTGACAATGTGGGCAAAACAAAATGTTTAGTATAAGTGGGAAGTAGAAACTGGTAGTGATGTATGAGGGAAATTGAAATAAGTTTATTGAGGTAAAATACACACAAAGGGATGAGGTAGCTTAAGCTATTCTTACCCCGTTCAGTACATCGTGTTAATACATACATAGACACACATCACAAGCAATAAACGTATTACCGAACATTCTGAAAGATAAATGTATGAGGAAAGGCGGAGTCATTCACGACGTGTGAGCCTTGGCCTGCACCGTGTGAGAACCGTAACTTCGAAACTTCCTTGGCACTTCAGTACTGACTCGTGTTTATTTAATAGAAAGTAAGCCTGCACCTCTTGGGTTATATCCTCTACAGGATGATATAAAGCTACTCCCCACCCATTCCTTTACAATATAATGAACATGTGGAGGGAGGCTGGATACACAAAGGAACTACCATATGAACGCTGGAAAACATTCTTCACTATAAAAGCTAGTCAGCATGTGAGGAGCCAGAATGATAAACAGTCAAGTTTACTCCATAAATAAATTTTAAAGTTGTAGATACTACAAAAACAAAATTAATCTTATTAGACGGCGGAGAGCCCAGGAACTGAACCCAAGAAACTATTATATAACCTGAGAAAATATTAACATTTGATTACTACTACAAGTAAGGTTACTACCAGCTCGGGTAGGTTGACTCAGGGTGGGTGACGCTGCCCAATAAACTACGGTATATAATATTCATATTGATTATACCATATGGAGGAGGGAGGCCTGGTCGACGACCGGGCCGCGGGGACGCTAAGCCCCGGAAGTACCTCAAGGTAAGGTAAGGTACCATCACTAGTGTTTCAACCATTGTTACAACCATTAAGGTCACCACACAAGGTCATACCCCCCCCCCCCCCCCCGCTACTAACATACGTGGCACTACTTGAGCACCCCCCCCCCTCCCTGCCCATGACTCACTGTAGTGGTGTGGCACTGTAACGGTCTTCCTAAACACCCCCCCCCCTCCTCCTCAAGAGTGACTTGAGTGGCTGGCAATAACCGTTCCTTAAGAAGGGAGGTTGCACATCATTTTGCACATCATGTGGCCTCAAACTCTGCGTCGCGGGCACATCTGTCGCACATTTCAGCAGCTTATACATAATAATAATTATTATTATTACATCTCAGGAAAAGTATAATATAGACATTCGGAGGGGAGGGGGAAGGAGGGGGAAGGAGGGGGAAGGAGGGGAGGGGGGAAGCTCAGGATAGATGAGAAGAAGATCCCAGTCAGTGTTATTGTAGGGGACCACCAAGTGTAAATTACAACCAGAAGGCGTGACGGGCCCTGACCGGCGGGACAGTGGCCGAGGGGACACGTCATGGCGCCCTCAACCCTCCAACCACACACCCTAGGAGGCGCCCCCCCCCCCCCCCCATCACCCCGGACTCTAACCATACAATATACTGAACAATTACAAACCGATTTTTCTCGACAAGATGCATTTTTAAATTTGCTTAATTAATGTGCAGGCGCTGAGTCACAATAACGTGGCTGAAGTATGTTGACCAGACCACACACTAGAAGGTGAAGGGACGACGACGTTTCGGTCCGTCCTAGACTATTCTCAAGTCGATTGTGAGAATGGACCATTCCCACAATCGACTTGAGAATGGTCCAGGACGGACCGAAACATCGTCATTTGCTTAATGTGTTCATCAAGCTTTCTCTAAAGAATTTCATAATAACTTTAACATGAGATGGAAGAGTAAGGGCTGATACTGATCGTCTCATTTATGATGTAACCGGTCACTATTAGTGATGTAGACTATTACTATAATGAATGTAGACTGTTACAAGAACAGTATCTGGTAATTTTAAATGTCTGCCGATGTAGACCTGACCAAATGTAAACTGTGTCAACAAAATTATTCGCACACCCTCCGTCACTATGTGATGGAGTGCGAAAAGATACGTGAATTCAGAGACAGTTCTATAACAAAGGTTCCAGAGATGTGTAAATATTTCATTCAAAATGA